GCCTCTAGGTGCGAGAGCGTGGGGCCGACGGGGCCACTAGGGGCGTGAAAGCCGAGGCGCCCTAGGGCGCAGGTAGGTAGGTAGGTAGTGGTGGGCCCTAAAAAAAAATCGGTCCTAGGAAGGACCTACTCTATACCATGTTGAACAAGAATGAATGAACTAACAGTGAAATGAGTACAAGTATGAAAAACTAGGAATGTGTACCCCCTATAGGCTAACCCACTGTAGCCTAAACAACTACAACAACATATATAATGTTTGACAGTACTGTCCCTGCTGTGTCTGGAGTCGCTGTTGGAATCACTGAACAGGAATGAATGAACTAGCAGTGAAATGAGTACAAGTACCTAACCCTAGAATTGTGTACCCCCTATAGGCTAACCCACTGTAGCCTAAACTAACACAACATATATAATGTTTGACACACCCCCATAGGCAAAGTGGGGGAGAACTAGGGGTCACAAGACCAGTCAAGGCAAAGCAAGGCAAAACAAGCTCAGGGTGGATCTCAAGGATACCACACAAATTCCGAGCACAAGCAAGTGGTCACAAGACCAGTTCACATGCAGGTTTATAATAGAGCAAAAGGTACAATGATCACAACCTAACAAGAGTAAACATGCAGGTATATATATAGAGATCACAGTACAGTAGGCACAAGGCCAAGAAGAGTGCAAAAGCGCTGATGGTCACAAGGCTGAAGCGCCTTGGTGAACACATCAGCAGTGTTGGCCTCAGAGGCCACGTAACGCAGGCAAAGCTGACCACGCTGCTGCAGCTCTCGAGCAAGGAAGTAACGCAGAGCAATGTGCTTCGTTCTGTGCTCCAGTCTGTGCTCCTCACACAAGGCAATGGCTGCCTTGTCGTCGACGTACAGCACTGGAGGAGAACGAGGCTGCTCTCCAAGGTCGGTCAGCAAGTAGGTGAGCCAGCGTAGCTCCTGGGCCGCCATGGCTGTGGCGTAGATCTCAGCCTCACAACTGGAGCTGAGAACAGAAGAAGAGCGAGTAGAACGCAAAGAAACAGAACCAGAGCCAAGACTGAAGGAGTAACCCTGAGACGACCGCTGAGTAGCCTGGTCGTCTACCCAAGAAGCGTATGAGTGCCCAGTGAGAACAACTGGGACTCGCCCTCCAAGCACTAGCCCCATGCCCGACGTACTACACAAGTAGCGCAACACCTTCTTAGCTGCATCCATGTGCTCCTTCCGGTGACGGCCGGGAGCGACATAGCGTGCAAGAATGCTGAGAGGGTATGCAAGGTCTGGTCGAGTGCAGGTCATCAGGTACATGAGGCAACCCACAAGCTCTGGATACGGGCCACTCGGCTCTACGGTCTCATCCGAAGGCAGAGCTGAGAGCGAGTGACCGGTAGCCAGAGGAGTGGGCTGAGGCGAGGAGTACGTGAAGCGGAAGCGCTGAAGGACCTGCTGCACCATGTGTGACTGAGTCAAGGTGATGGTGCGGCGTGCTCTGTCCCGGGTGATCCGCAAGCCAAGATAGCTTGTCAGTTCACCCAGGTCTGTGCACGTGTGTCTCTTCTGCAGCTCCGACTTCACGTGGGTGAGTGCCACAGTGTCAGCAGTAGCAAAGACCAAGTCGTCGACGTACACAAGGACGTAGAACGGCGGCAGTGAGGTGTCGGTGCGTAGAAACAGCGACGGGTCAGCAGTAGAAGGCGCGAACCCAAGAGCCGCAAGCGTAGTCCTCAGTGTGTCGTGCCACTCACGAGGCACCTGGCGGAGACCGTAGACTGGCCGTCGGAGGCTCCACTGGGTACCAGGAGGGAACGACCCAGTGAAGCCAGGTGGACGGCGCAGCCAGATCTCCTTGTGCAGGCTACCCTGCAGGAAAGCAGTGCTGAAGTCAAGCGAGTGGAGCTCGTAGTCACGCTGAGCGGCGACATGCAGCAGAACCCGAAGAGTGGTCATCTTCGGGGTCGGGGAATAGGTTGGAAGAAGTCAACTCCCTCTCGCTGACTGAAGCCTCGTGCAACGTAACGCGCCTTGAAGACAGGCGGAGAGCCCGGCGGCCGCTTCACCCTGAAAATCCACATGCCAGTGACGATGTTCGCCCCAGGTGGGGGAACCTTGTCGACGTAGGTGCCTGTGGACTTCCAGGAAGCCATCTCTGTGTCCATGGCTGACTGCCACTTAGAGGAGTAGGGACCAGCCATCGCCTCTGCGTAAGAGCGTGGGGTCGGGATGTCTGGTGCATCCGGGTCTCCCTCAGGGGCAATAAGCATGGACACGAGATGGGGCAAAGCGGCAGCAAAGCACTCAAACTCCTCCTGCCTGTCCTGAAGGACGTCAGTGCCAAGAGCACACTCACCCCCGACGGACGGTGGACAGAGAGACTCAGACTCAGCAACTAGGCTAGCAGCGTAGTCTAGACGACAGCGAGCAGCAAAGTCGACAAGCTCAGCAACTAAGGCAGACGCAGCAGCAGACTCAAAGGAAGGGTCAGTGACAACAGTAGCCAGGAGACGCGTGACAGTAGGACTGGTAGCACGAAGAGAGTCTGACCCAGGGTCAGCAAGAGCAGGAAGAGAGGAAGCAGGAGGAGACGGCAGTGGGACACGCTGTGGAGCAGTGGACGGACGAAGCGCCATCCGGTGAGTGCCTGGGACAGTAGGAAGACGCTGACGCTGGACTCGACTACTAGAGAGAGCAGTGCGGACAGGCGACTCAGGACGAGACTCAGGCAACGCAGGACGAGACGCAGGCTCACGCCGCTCAGTAAGACCTCCAGTCGGACCAGTGTAAGGAGCACGACCAGGGAGAGAGGGGGGAGACGGTAGCTGCGACTGCAGCTGGACAGGCGGAGGACACGCTAAGGAGGGAGGAGGAAAAGGAGGAGGAAGCTGACCAAGAACCTGCTGAAGGAGCGGAACAAAGTACGCCCGAGACCGAGCAGCGACACCAGAGCCAGCAGGGACACCCGCACCAGGGTCCGCAGCACCAGCAGCAGCTCCAGCGCCCACGTCCTCAGCACTAGCGGCAGCTCCAACGCCCGGGTCCTCAGCACCAGTAGCAGCTCCAACGCCCGGGTCCGCAGCACCAGCGGCAGCTCCAACGCCTGGGTCCTCAGCACCAGCAGTAGCTCCAACGCCCGGGTCCTCAGCACCAGCCGCGGCTCCAACGCCCGGGTCCTCAGCACCAGCAGCGGCTCCAACGCCCGGGTCCTCAGCACCAGCAGCAGCTCCAACGCCCGGGTCCTCAGCACCAGCAGCAGCTCCAACGCCCGGGTCCTCAGCACCAGCAGCGGCTCCAACGCCCGGGTCCTCAGCACCAGCAGCAGCTCCAACGCCCGGGTCCTCAGCACCAGCAGCAGCTCCAACAGCAGCGGGGTCCGTAACACGAGGCACGCCACTCCGAAGAGTGCAGCGCCGCTCGTACCACTCACGGATCCGCTCGCGGGAGGGGAGCTCCCGAACGGGAGAAGAAGCACTAGCACCAGTCCCAGTAGTACGTCCGGCTCGAGCGGTACCTCTCCGGAGGCTGCAGTACTCTAAGTACCACGCACGCAGCTGCTCCGAGGAGAGGGCTCCTCCAGGTGCAGGACTCCCAGGCCTAGTACCTCCAGACTCAGAACCCCCAGACTCCGGACTCCGCAGCTCAGCACCACGAGGCTCCACACCCCCAAGCTCAGCACCCTCAAGCTCCACACCCCCAGGCTCCACACCCCCAGGTTCCACACCCCCAGGCTCCACACCCCCAGGCTCCACACCCCCAGGCTCAGCACCCCCAGGCTCAGCACCCCCAGCAGGACGAGAGTCGACAGCTACCTCAACAGGCTCAACCGGGTCTACCTGAGACACACCTGAGGGAGCGGCACCCTGAGGGGGGAGGGGGTCTGCAACAGCAGCACCTGGTGCGAGGAAGAGAGGCGGGGGGGGGAGCGGGGCAGTGCGGTAGGGGAAGAGGCGGTAGTAGGGGACGGACTCGTCAAAAGTGACGTCCTGGGAGGGCGAGACTCGGCGCGAGTTGGCGTGGTAAAACTGCCAACTAGACGCGTCCGGGACAAAGCCGAGGAAGACGCAGGGAACAGCACGGGAGGAGAGCTTGTCCGCAGACGAATCGCGGACAAAAGCTCGAGACCCCCAGACCCGGAAACGCGACGCATCGCCAACCTCCCCCGTCCACAGCAGCGTGGGCGAGGTCTCCGGCAAGGAGACACGGGGCCAGAGGTTGAGCTGATGCGCAGCGTACCGGACCGCAAACGGCCACAGAAAGTGGGGGGCAGCCGCATGGATCAAGGAGGTACGGGCGACCTCCATGACCACGCCAATGCGGCGCTCCGCAACCCCATTCTGCTGTGGAGAAGCCGGAAGCGTGAACGACTGCTCAATGCCGTGCTCAGCACAGTAGGCTGCCAAGAGGTCGGAGGAGAACTCACCACCTCTGTCAGAGTGCAAGCGCAGGACAGGAAAGTCCGAGTGAAAACGCTCGCTGAGCTGGAGACGGGCTCTGCGGATCCAAGGGATCAAGACATCAGGGACCTCACCCTTTGTGCGCAAGGGGAAGACCGAGGTGTAGCGCGAGTAGTCGTCAACAACTATCAGGAAGTACCTCTCCTGACCCTGACCACGGACGCGGGCTGGGCCCCACACGTCCATGTGGAGTGTCTGCAAGGGAGCAGTCGTCGGGGGGAACGAGGAGGAGTGAGGAGCGGCGCGCTGCCGTCCCTCGACACAGGGGAGACAGGTAGGAGCAGGCGAGGGTGGGAGGGCAGGAAGGACCCTGGGCAGGCCAGAGACAAGGTACCGCGAGTGCATGGCACGAAGCCGCTGCACAGACGGGTGGCCAAGGCGGTGGTGCCAGAGGACAGTCTCGTGTGCCAAAGAGCGACACGAGCAGGGGGCGGACAGCTGACCTGACACGGACGCGGACGCAGTCCCAGCAACCTGAGGGGACTCAGTAGTCAGTGTGTACAGGTCCGACCCCGGCTGCCGAGTGAAGGTAGCCAAGTGACGGCCCGTACGAGCACACGTGCAGTGTGTCACGCGCTCGTAGGCAGGGGTGAACTGGTGAACACCCCCGTCCTGGAGTGCACATCCTGCCACCAAGTTCGTAGAGAACGAGGGGAGGTGGAGACCTGACAGTGTGCCCGATGGGACCGCAGGGCAGGGAAGGACAGTGGAAGAGGTCGCAATGACCGGACCCCCAGAGGGGTCAGCAAGGGAGACAGCAACTGGCCGAGCAAGCGGCTCAAGGGCAGTGCGGTCACGAAAGAAGCAGCGAGAAGCACCTGAGTCTAGTGTGAAGGTGTGCAGTGCGGCAGTCGACGCAGTACCAAGGGGGGGAGACACACGAGCACCTAGAGCAGCAGCCTCACCAGCACCTGGGGTAGCCGACACGCGAGTACCTGGAGCGGCAGACGCACTGGCCCTAATGCCCGGGTCGGGCGGCACATACAAGTACTCAGCACCCTCTCCACTAGTAGACATCACATACATGGCAGATAGAATAGCATCAAAGTCTAGAGCATAGATATCAATCCCCTTCTTCAGGAGATCAAGCCAGCGGGGCAGCTCAGTGGCCTGAGGGAACTGAACACGCCAAGCGTCGTCGAGACGAGAGAAGCAGCGCTGTGTGGCGTGCGGTCGTCCACACTGCTGACCAGTGCGGTCACCAGTGCGAATGACGTACGTGCAGCTAAGACCACCCCCACCCCCGTGCTGAGAGTACCACTCACGGACCTCCTAGGGCGAGGGAGTGTGCTGCTGGCCCTGGCCACCGCCAGTGCCTCCACGGCCACCACCACCGCTGCCACCTCCTCGACCACCCCAACCCCTGCCGCCGCCTCGTCCACCGCCACCCCAACCGCCGCCTCCACTCCTGCCACCTCCCCCGCCGCTGCCGCCACCACCCCCACCGCTACCACTCGCCCCTCCAGCCGAGCCACCACCCCCACTGCCTCCACCGCCCCCACCGCCGCCTCCCCCGCCGTCACCGCCACCACCCTTGCCCCCTTTGCCCTTGCCGCTGCGGCGTCCGCTCGAGGCAGACGCAGCGCTGACCTTCTCAGCACCAAGAAGGTCCACAGCAGCAGCAGAGGCGACAGAGGGAAGGAGGGGGGAAGGAGAACACCCCTCAAAGAACGGGGTACGGGGGTCGCCACGAGAGGCACCTACAGCGACTATGCTAGTCTCAGCTGCAAGTAGCTCCTTCTCGAGGAGGGCAATGGTGAGCTCAGTGGGGCAACGAGCTAGGAAGTGGTCCCTGACAGCACGCAGTGTGTCAGGGAGGCGGGTGACTAGGTGGTAGAGAGTGAGCCAGAGTGGAGGGGGGTGCGTGGCAAGGAACTCAGCAGGCATGGCGGCACGGAAGCGGGCCTCACTAGTACGGAGGTGCGAAATGAGGTCAGCGACTGTGTGAAAGGAGGCCAGGTCGGGAAACAGGTAGGGGAGGGAGAGACGGCCTAGTGCGACAGAGGCAGGTGAGGAGTAGCGAGCAACTACAGCTGTGTACAGTGCCTGTGCAGTCTTGTGCTGACCAAAGTGCTCGCGTTCGTCTATCGGCAGGGAGTTGCGAATGGCGAAGCGAGCGTGGGCATCACGAGTCTGCCACTGTGAGCGAGAAGTGCTGTCAGCAGTAGCAGCAGGGGCAGTGACATGGCCTAGGGCGTGATCGTACAGTGAGATGTCATCCTTGGCTGTGAGCTGTAGGTAGAGGTGCAGGTCATCGAGCCAGGTGTCAAACTTCACAGGGCGGCCCTCAGGATCGAACACGAGAACCTGTGGGCTAGCCATAGGAACAGTAGAAATAGGAGCAGTAGCAGTAGGAGAAGCAGGTAGGACGAACCAGGTAGGGCAGGGCGGCGCAGCTCGGTTCAGGTCGGGTCGCGGCTCGGCTGGGTGGCGCGGCTCGGCTCGGGGCGCGCGGCTTGGGTCGCGCGGCTCGGGTCACGGCGGGGACGGGCCGCCCGCTCTCCCTCGTGTGCTGCGGCGGGAACGGGCCACCCGGGGCCTCTAGGTGGTGGGCACGGGTCGGCGAGGTCGGCACGGGGCCGGTTAGGGCCCTAGAGGGGCGAGCGCGGGGCCGATTAGGGCCTGAGCGGGGCTAGCGCGGGGCCAAACGGGGCTAGCAAGGGGCCGACGGGGCCTGAACGGGGCTAGCGCGGGGCCGACGGGGCCTGTAACGGGGCTAGCGCGGGCCGACGGGGCCTGAGAGGGGCTAGCGCGGGGCCGACGGGGCCTGAAACGGGGCCAACGGGGCCTGAAACGGGGCTAGCGCGGGCCGACGGGGCCTAAGAGGGGCTAGCGCGGGGCCGACGGGGCCTTAAACGGGGCCGACGGGGCCTGAAACGGGGCTAGCGCGGGCCGACGGGGCCTGAGAGGGGCTAGCGCGGGGCCAACGGGGCCTGAAACGGGGCCGACGGGGATTGAACGGGGCTAGCGCGGGGCCTGAACGGGGCCTTAAAGGGGCCGAGGGGGCCTGAACGGGGCCGCTAGGGAGAGCGGGCGTGGGGCCGACGGGGCCTGAACGGGGCTAGCGCAGGGCCGTCAAGAGGGGCCTCTAGGGGCGTGACACGCCGAGGCGCCCTAGGGCACAGGTAGGTAGGTAGTTACGTAGTGGCGGGCCCTTAAAAAATTTCGGTCCTAGGAAGGACCTGCTCTATACCATGTTGGAATCACTGAACAGGAATGAATGAACTAGCAGTGAAATGAGTACAAGTACCTAACCCTAGAATTGTGTACCCCCTATAGGCTAACCCACTGTAGCCTAAACTAACACAACATATATAATGTTTGACAGTCGCCGCGCGGCCTCGGCCGTACTTTATTCCGCTCCTTCAGCAGGTTCTTGGTCTTCCTCCTCCCTTAGAGTGTCCTGTCGCAGTTACAGTTACAGCCGGCCTCCCCACTGCCTTCTCCTTCTCCGTACACTGGTTCTACTGGAGGTCTTGCTGAGCGTCGTGAGCCTGCGTCTCGTCCTGCGTCAGCGTCCTCCTCCTGTCCATGGCACGCACCGGATGCCTCTGCGTCCGTCCACTGCTCCTCTGCGTGCCCCTTTGCCCTCTCCTCCTGAGTCCTCTCTTCCTGTGCTTACCGACCCTGAGTCGGACTCTCTTTGTGCTGCCAGTCCTACTGTCACGCATCTCCTTGCTACTGTTGTCACTGACCCCTCCTTTGTGTCCGTGCTGCGTCTGCTCTTGTTGCTGAGCTCGTCGACTTTGCTGCTCGTTGTCGTCTAGACTACGCTGCTAGTCTTGTTGCTGAGTCTGCGTCTGTCTGTCCTCCGTCCGTCGGGGGTGAGTGTGCTCTTGGCACGGACGTCCTTGAGGACAGGCAGGAGGAGTTCCAGTGTCTGGCTGCTGCTTCACCTCATCTCGCGTCCGTACTGCTTACCCCTGAGGGAGACCCGGATGCACTAGACATCCCGACTCCGCGCTCTCACGCGGAGGCCGTAGAGGGTCCCTACTCCTCTCCGTGGCAGGCAGCTATGGATGCAGAGATGGCTTCCTGGAAGTCCACAAACACCTACGTTGACGCGGTTCCCCCTCCTGGGGCGAACATCGTCAGTGGCATGTGGATCTTCAGGGTGAAGCGGCCGCCGGGCTCTCCACCTGTCTTCAAGGCGCGGTACGTGGCTCGTGGCTTCAGTCAGCGGCAGGGAGTTGACTACTTTCAGACCTTCTCTCCCACCCCGAAGATGACCACTCTTCGGGTGCTGCTACACGTAGCCGCTCAGCGTGACTACGAGCTTCACTCCCTTGACTTCAGCACTGCTTTCCTGCAGGGTAGCCTGCACGAGGAGATCTGGCTGCGCCGTCCACCTGGCTTCACTGGGACTTTCCCTCCTGGCACCCAGTGGAGCCTCCGACGGCCAGTCTACGGTCTCCGCCAGGCACCGCGTGAGTGGCACGACACACTAAGGACTACACTTGCGGCTCTTGGGTTTGCTCCCTCTACTGCTGACCCGTCGCTGTTTCTACGCACCGACACCTCTCTGCCGCCGTTCTACAACCTCGTGTACGTCGACGACTTGGTCTTTGCCACAGCTGACACTGCTGGACTCGCCCACGTGAAGTCCGAGCTGCATAAGAGACACACGTGCACAGACCTGGGTGAACTGCGCAGCTACCTTGGCTTGCAGATCACCCGGGACAGAGCACGCCACACCATTACCCTGACTCAGTCACACATGGTGCAGCAGGTCCTTCAGCGCTTCGGCTTCACGTACTCCTCGCCTCAGGCCACTCCTCTGTCTACTCGCCACTCGCTCTCAGCTCTGCCTTCGGATGAGTCCGTAGAGTCGAGTGGCCCGTACCCAGAGCTTGTTGGCTGCCTCATGTACCTGATGACCTGCACACGACCTGACCTTGCATACCCTCTTAGCATTCTTGCACGCTATGTTGCTCCTGGGAGACACAGACCAGAGCACATGGCTGCAGCGAAGAGGGTGTTGCGCTACTTGTGCAGTACGTCGGGCATGGGGCTAGTGCTTGGAGGGCGGAGTCCAGTGGTCCTCACTGGGCACGCGGACGCTTCTTGGGCAGACGACCAGGCTACGCAGCGGTCGTCACAGGGTTACACCTTCAGCCTTGGTTCCGGCTCTGTTTCGTGGCGGGCTACTCGCTCGTCTTCCGTTCTCGGCTCCAGTTGTGAGGCTGAGATCTACGCCGGGCCATGGCTGCACAGGAGCTTCGCTGGCTTACCTACCTGCTCACTGACCTCGGAGAGCCGCCTCGTTCTCCTCCGGTGCTGTACGTAGACAACAAGGCCATGCTAGCCTTGTGTCGGGAGAAGCGCCTGGAGCACAGAACGAAGCACATTGCTCTCTGCTACTTTCTTGCTCGTGAGTTGCAGCAGCGTGGTCAGTTGCGACTTGCGTACGTGGCCTCTGAGGCCAACGCTGCTGATGTTTTCACCAAGGCACTTCCGCCTTGTGATCATCAGCGCTTCTGCACTCAGCTGGGTCTTGTGCCTGTCTTGCCTCACTTGCTCACCCCTTGACCTTGCTTGTACTCTTACATATATATATACCTGCTCTTGCTTGTTTAGCCTTATATATATATATGTGTACTCCTGCATGTGAACTGGCCTTGTGGCCTTAACCTTGTGCTCGGACTGTGTGGTGACGTTGTGATCCACCCTGAGCTTTGTCTGCTTTGCTTGACTGGTCTTGTGACCCCTTGTTCTCCCCCACTTTGCCTATGGGGGTGTGTCAAATCATAATATTGTGTAGGCTATAGTGGGGTAGCCCATATGGGGTACACATTTCTAGGGTTGCATATTTGTATCACTTCCATTCCTTAGTCATTCATTCTCGTTCTACTTTCCTCAACGAAGCTAGTTGGTGATACAGCATCTGCAAAACATTCGCGGCAAAGGCAACGAGATTCGATGAAACAAACCATGTGACGGAGAGAAGGCATGTGGAAACCAGGCTGCTGACAAATAAAAATAAACGGAGGCAATGAAAAAATATAATCAGAGTGACGCCAAGAAGCAAACGGAATGAAAGGGTGCTCATCCTGCAACCCCATCGTACAGCATTTCAGCTTACCTCACGACGAGCACTATTTACAGCTTGACTGAACAACAATTCTTAGGTCGATACGAGTCGAGAATGGAGCATCACGCATCGCCCCCGTGTTCGATATTCTGCCATGAAAAAACGATAACGAAATAAGACATATACGATGCATGTCATTCAAACAACGGCACCCCTAAAATACTATGACTTCGCTGGTGGAAAAGTGAAGGAACTTAATTCCTAAAACGTGCACGCGAAATCTGACCACGGTCAGAACATCACCAGGGCTAATCGCGACAACCTGCTTCTTGTTCAAGTAAGCTGCGTGTAGCTCTCGTAGTAGCTGCTCCACGTGAGTATCGTGAGCTGAAAACGACTTCGGTAGAGAATGACGGGTTGTGTTTGAACCAGGATGGACAAGGCTAGAAGGCAGTGATGGGTGAGGAGAGGCAGTAGAAGGTGGTTGCCAAAGAGCTACGACTGGTTCGTGATCTAAATTGTGCCACGTAACCCAACCCATCACTGTAATAACAACATATTGAGTGATATGATAAGATAATGGAATCTTTCTGGCTCACAACCGTTTACTTTTCAATTCGAATACGGAAAGACGAAATGCACAGTCAAGGCTTACCGTACGTGGCTGCCTCGGCAGCCAAAGTGAAGCGAACTTTTGATTGACGCCGAGCCTCCAGCCGAAGCTAGGGGGTATCCTCGGGGTAACAACGAACTGATATGCCCCCCTGATTAGTCTATGGTTTCATTACGAAGGTGCGCGAACATTTCTGCGAGTGGTAATGAACTCGCCAGCACTCAAAGTTAACCTCGGTGGCACTTGGAGGAAAAATGAGGGTTACCTCACGAGGGTGACCTTGGGGTATCCCTCGACTTCGGAGCGAATTTTGCGTTGTGATTTTTGGGATGCACTCCCTTTGAGGTTCGTGGCTCGTTCACCACCTCCTCCAAGGTTTCTACCTAATACTGTACTTTATAGTCACATTACAGTAAAATTATTCTGTTAGTCCTTTCTCTGGCTTGTGGTTGTATAAGGAAAATCCCTTTTCCTTACTTCGCATCCCTACTCAACGCATACATCACTGTAGCACCTCAGTCAGCACCGTTACCACTCGTGATCATCGCATCGACAATCATCCCGCCATTTTTCGCACATCGCATCCCAACCTCACGGCTCGGCTGGTAACCCGCGCTCCGGGCCTACGCCTCGACACTTTCCCAACCTCAGTCCCAGGCTCGTCGCGCGACTACCACA